AGTACTGTTATGTAAATCCTTCTTTGTAATTATCCTTATTGTGTTTTTCACAAACTAAAAATGAAAGCCCCGGGACTTCTTTGCCTAATTTCAGGATACACAGGGAAATACCATTTAAGGTAGTATAGAGCCATGGACTTAAACGAGGGTTGGTTAAGGCTGCAGCTACTAAATCTTGAAACTAGTGGTTTAAAAACAAGGAGAGAACCCTGAATGGTTGTTTTAAAAAAGTAATACCAAAAAAAATCATTTCCCTTTTCATTCATACCTTCATTAAATTTAATGAGTTTTGGATTGATCGTGTGCATTTGGTGTTATGTTGGTGTTTAGGATCTTAAATTTAGAGCATCCGTCTATTTTATGTGATACTTTCTAGAATATTAATCTTAAAATATTTTAAAGATAAAATTATAGATTCCATATATAAGTGATATCATGTTTGTCTTCCTCTTTCTGGCGTACTTCACTTAGTACGATAATCTCTAGGTCTGTCCATGTTGCAAATGACATTATTTGATTCTTCTTTATGGCTGAGTAATATTCTATTGTGTATGTATGTACCACATCTTCTTTATCCGTTCATTTGTCCACGGACATTTAGGTTGTCCAGGATACAAATGAACTTATTTACAAAATAGAAAGAGTCTTACAGGCATAGGAAACAAACTTATGGTTACCATAGGGGAAAGGGGGGTGTAAATTAGGGGGCTGGGATTAACACATACACAGTACCGTATATAAAATAGATAAACGACAAGGACTGTATAGCACAGGGAACTGTACTCAATATTTTGTAATAACCTATAAGGGAAAAGAATCTGAAAAAGAATTACATATATTATATATAATATATATATTCAGTTATATATAATATATATATAACTGAATCACTGTGTTGTACACCTGAAACTAACACGACATTGTAAATCAACTGTATTTCAATTTAAAAAAAGATACTGGGATTTCCTGGTGGTGCAGTGGTTGAGAGTCTGCCTGCTGATGCAGGGGACACGGGTTTGTGCCCCGGTCCAGGAAGATCCCGCATGCCACGGAGTGGCTGGGCCCGTCAGCCATGGCTGCTGAGCCTGCACGTCCGGAGCCTGTGCTCCACAATGGGAGAGGCCACAACAGTGAGAGGACTGCGTA